AATTTTAAACATTTATTTTTTAATTTTCAATAATTGAGATTTGTCATAATTTTCTAAGTGAAAGAATAATTATATTTAATAAATATAAATAATTCTTAATTATCATTATTTAAAATAGAAAGATTGATAATTAAGATTTTATATAAATGTTGTGTATAAAATTTATATGTAAATAGATCCTTCTTTATATGTGTATATATATATGTGGTAAACTTAATTAATTATGGAGTAAATATTAGAATTTAGAAACATTCTCTGTATTCATTCTTCCTAAAAATTATGCATGCAACTTAGAAATTTTCAAATATATATAGACAGACATAGCAAGATATTATATAATTTTGGTCCTACACCTTTGACTTCCCCTAATTATATGTCGGTAGGAAGCCAACGTCATCATCACTTAAAGGCATGCAGAAAGGGTTGTAGAGGTGCAAACAAATCTTTCGTTATTAATCTGTAACGATAGGCTAGCTGAATTAATTTTGTTATACCCAAAAGTGTAACCTGTATGAGACTAGTGAGCTCAGCTCATGGGAACCTGGTCCAAGCTCAGGATTCCTACGAAATATCCCAAATAACTGACTTGCTTAGAGAATACTTTGAAACGAATAGATGGCACACTCTGATTGGACTAGTAGTTGGACGAATAGGTACCCGCTCCTATCATTTTCTCTCATCACACGCACACTCACCTTTTCTCTCTCTGATTCACTCCTCCCTTAGACTCTTCATTCACAGACACAAAAGAAACAGATTTCTCTCTATGGATACGTATCTTATGTTAAGCATCAGAGTGCCAAGTCTCCAACTAAGCTCTAACGCCTCCTTATTTTGCAAGTTTCCAGCGTCTACTTAGTGCAACCTTCAACCGAGAATCCTGCCCGCCATTTTTTGGTTACAACAAATTTAAAAGAAAGAAGCCCTCATATATTCATTTGTTTTAGATTGTCTTTAATATGCTTAATGATTCCATGAAGTTGTTTAAATTGTTAATCATATTTGCATGAAGATGAATTGTTGTTGGAGGTGCATACATGTTTCAGTTTCCAGTGCGATTCCACAACCAAAGAGGACATGATTTCTTCCAATTAAGTTACGACAAACAGGAACAAAATATATTGCATCCATAATGTGTCATCTCATCATTCTTCCTTTACTTCTCGCTAATTTGTTTTACAAAGAAGTGTTTTGTATTCGTAACTGTAAAATACTAGTCATGAAATTAATTAAGAGGTGGCCCTTATAATGGAGAGAGCTTTTATTCAATAATTAATGTTTTACCATCTAATACAATTTAAACTGTAAAATATTAAATTCATAATTTTATAATATATAAAGAGTTATTATACCCAAAATTGGACCAAATCCTTGATAAATGGGCTTCACCCAGGAACATGGTAAAAATCAGGCAACTGGTCCTTAATTAGATCAATCTATCAACCGATTAGCTCGATGAGCAATCCAATTCATACCATTAATTGGACAACATATTGACCAAAAGGTATAATATGTATACATAGATAATGATTTAAGGAAAAAATTTTGTCTTTAATTTACTTTTTACAACTCACATATATCTGTAAATAATTAGATATATTATTCAAAGTCACAAGTTTTGATAAAATGAAAAGAACTTATTATTAATTGACATATAAAATTCTAAGTAAAAGTTATATTTAAAAATTATCTGCACATATCACTTTTCATATAATATAACAATAATATGGACAATTTCACCTCACTATCAACGCTGATCGCTGAATCCAAATAAATGGATCCATCAAAAAATTCTTCTAAATAGATGAAAAGGAAAATAAGATTATAGAGAAGACTTCCAAACTAATTAAAATTGTCGTCTACCTTATTGACTAACTCTTTTGGTTTTGTCTTCGATTTTTCTGTTGATGATTGATGATATATATGAAATAAATAAATAAAATATGCATTAGGTAGATGGGGACCATAGGGTTAATTGATTGGGGTTTGATTAATTAGCTAGACACTAGATATATATGTAGATGTGGAGTTTGATTGATTACCTTTGTCTCCCTTAATTATATACATACGCGTGCGTTTCTATTTGTATTTTTAGATAAATTAACGTTATGAGACTATTTGGATTAACTTTTTTAAAATATTTAATAATTGATAGTTAATATATAATTATTTATAATTTAAAATATCTAACCCATTTAATTA